AAGGCACTATGTGAAATGCAAGGATTATTATTATTATTATCTTGTGCGTCTCTACCTAAGGGTTTCCCTAATAATGGGTAATCAATGAATGACTGCCCATACCGCTTCCCCAATGGATGCTCCTTCACTGGGCTTTTCCATTATTATTATTATTTACATATCCCACTCAAATCCCACTCGGAGACGAGCAAATGAGCCCCTCAATCCCAGGCAACCAAAGCTGTATAGCCCTGGAAAGCCTAAGGAGAACCAGTTGAGAACCAGAGTAGAGGAATAGAAAGAGTCATTAGGAACAGGCTAAGGATGCAGTTATGAAGATCAATTGGGGTTGTCACTATCAAGAACACAGACAGAAAGGCAGAAACATAAGATTTAATGATAATCTTCCCTTGGACACCATCCTAGCTTGATAGATTTGGACTGGACTGTGTAATAATCACATTCTAATCTGCAGTTCATGATCTGGCCCAATCAATAAACTCCCTAAATATCCTGTTGTAAGATCTGCCCATCAATTATGTCTTGACTGCAAGGATAAGGACAGTCTCTCTTAAAGGGTCCTGACAGAGAAAGAATTTTGCTGAAATACGCCATTAATTAAGTGCTTGTCAAATTCCTATATTCTCTTTGACCGTGCCTTCAGCTCCCCTCTCGACTCTCTTCCTCCTCCTCGCTCCCTCCCTTCCCTCCCCTCACCCTGACCATTTCCCCCTCCTCTCTCCCTCCCTTCCCTCCCCTCACCCTGACCATTTCCCCCCTGCTCGGGTCATGACCCAACTGTGCAGCGCCTTGGGACGTCCTCCTGACGTGAAAGGCGCTCTATAAATGGAATCTTGTTGTTGTTGTTGTTGTATATACTGTTACTCTGTGGAATAAATTGAATTTAAAAAGTAAACCCAGATCAATACATTAGGATGCACCAAGACAGCGGAACAAGAAAACACAAGTTTAGAGTTGTAAACAGGTAATTTCAGGACAGATGCCAGGAATTTTCTTTATAAAGAGGGTAATCAAGGACTGGAACAGGTTACCAGGAAGGGTGGTTGAGGCTGGGTCCCTGGACTCATTTAAAAAAAAACAGCTTGATACTGTGATACAGGGAGGTGAGTGTTCTGGAGGAATAATAATGATAATAATCCTTGCATTTGATTTAGTGCCTTATCATGTCTTTGAGACGACTCAAAATGCTTCACATAGTATACAGTAAAGAAACCTGACTGTATATTTTGTGGGTTGAAACGCCTTCTTAATCCAAACCAATCTTGCGATCTAGGGCCCACGTGTTCAACACTGCGCAATGTTTGACAGCGGAAAAGTTCTTTTTTTGTGAAGCGTGTCTATTATAAGTTGTAGCAAATAAAACGACTTCATCAGCAGCCACTGTATATAATCAAATCTAATAACAATTAAACGCTAGGAGCATAAGTGTGAAATATAATTAGGTGCACGCCGCAGTTAATTTCATGCGCTTTAGCAGATGTGCTGACAGATTGTGCATCTCTCCATGGGTGTCAGCCCCATCACAGGCCAGCCTTGGTCAAACACAGAGTCTCAGGACAGAGGAAAGATCTGGCTGTTGTGAGATGGGGTTTCAGTATCAGCCATTTACAATGGCTAACAGGATTGTGGCTTACAAAAAAAAACCTGAATTCCAGCCAAAGAAAAAAGTGGAAGTTACTGAAATTTCTTGGTAGGATCAGGTAAAATTACAATCCTAATAATAATACTACCAACGAAATATATTTGTCTAGTGCCTTTCACGTTCAGGGGACGTCCCGAGACGTCCTCAAATCAGGGATTTGAAATAATAATAATAATTCTTGTATTTGATATTACACCTTTAAGGAACTGTAACCAAATTCTACTGTGAAGCGACTGTGTATTTTGTAGGTGAATGAATGAGGGTAATAAGGAATTATTACCGCCGGAAGAACGATCCACCAATCGAATAATAATAATAACCGGGCTCGTACTTATCCCAGGCTTCTCTTTTCCACCAAAAACCCTCCTCCAACCACCTTCCCACACCCCTAAAAACAGCCGTCGTCAACCCCATCTTGAAAAAACCTTCCCTGGATCCATCCCTCCTCTCCATCTACTGCCCCATCTCTAACCTCCCACTCCTCTCCAAGGTCCTAGAACGAATCGTCACGTCCCAGCTCCGCTCCTTTCTTTCTTGCCATTCCCTCTTTGAACCCCTCCAATCCGGCTTCTGGGCTGCCCATAGCATGGAAACAGCCCTGGTCAAAGTCACTGATGACATTCTGAACATCTGTGATCAGGGCTCCCTCTGCCTCCTTGTCCTCCTCGACCTCTCTGCCACCTTCGACACTGTCGACCAGTCCATCCTCATACACCGCCTCTCCGCTTTACTCAATCTTCAGGGAGCTGCCCTTGCCTGGTTCGATTCCTATCTCTCTCACCATCTCCACTTTGTTGCCTCTAGCGGTTTCTCCTCCAGCCCGTCTGGCGTCCCCCAGGGCTCTCGAAAACATGATAAGGCGCTATATCAAATGCAAAGATTATTATTATTATTACTATTATTATTATTATCTCCTTCTTTTTGGGCCACTTGAATGGTACAGACGCCTTACATTTTCTGCTGCACATTCTTCTCTCCCTCCCCTCCCATCTCAACCTCTCGGTGACATCTCCCGTGAGCGAGTAAGAGTGAAAGGGGACAATGGAATTGAAGAGTAATAGTCAGATGCCTTCAGGTCTAATCACAGTACATTCTTGCAAATTTCAATTGAAAGTTGCAAGAAGCAAATGCCTCTGTTACCAGCAAAGTCAGGAATAGCTTAACTGATCTGCTTTTGTAAGAAATTGTTTGAGATTTCCTTGCCAGAACAATGCTATCAGGAGAAGGTGGACGCAGGTTCAGAAGGGCCAACAGGATTGAAGAGAAATATTCACTACCATCATGTCTGATTACATCTATTACATCTATATTCCGTGCTGTACAGTAGTACTGCAGTAGTACTTTCTCTCGGTGTGAGCTGCTTCCTCTCATTGAGAGTTCAGCAACTATTTGCCCCTCAAAAATCCAATTGTATTTGTCCCATTTGAGCAGATGTGTTTATAATTGTGCACACAATATAAAATAAAATTAAAGCACACACCAAGAGCTCAAAACAACATGTCAACACAGTCAGTCTCCTGTCCTCTTTTCCAAAGCGTCAAGCTGTTCTTTGACTGCCTGCTAGTTGGTGATACAGCAAGGAAATTCTAATCTAATAATAATAATCCTTGCATTTGACACTGCGATTTATCACATCGTTGAAACGTCTCAAAGTGCCTCACATGATTTACTGAAGAGTGCAGTGACTGTGTATTTTGCAACAAATTATACCGATTTGTAGTGAATATGCTGGTTGTTGATATAATAGTAAGCCCAAGATCCTTCCCTTTCACTAATCACTGGAAGGAGAACACTAAAATCTAAGCTGCCTATAATATTCGCTTCAACCTTGGTAACTTATTATTGTACATAGATGTAGAGACCTTGGGTTAAATGATGCCTTGGCTGGATATACTTGTAATAGTTAATCACCAAACGGATTGACTTCAAGATCCTCACACTTGTGTTCAAATTCCTTCACATTCTGGCACCTCCCTACCTCCCCGACCTCCTCACTCCGCAATCCACCACCCGGCGACTCCGCTCGGCCTCCTGCTCGTCCCTCGCGCCCTCTGCCCCACCATCGGAGGTCACGCTTTTAGCCACTCCGCCCCGAAACTCTGGAACACTCTCCCTCAATCCCTCCGCCTTGCCCCCTCTCTTCCCTTTTTCAAGTTCTGCCTGAAAATCTTCCTGTTTATGGCCACCTCCCCCACCCCGGCTCAGAGTCAGGCTCCGCCACTGTTAAGGGCTCAGAGATGCTACCCTACATGGAGGGTACTAGATATACAAGTGCAAGTTGCTGTTGTTGTAACAGAATGATATTTGTAAAACTAAATCAGCAGTGGTAGCATGATTTGAACCTCGTAAGACTTGTGTATCGAATCTACATGCAGTATTTGCTGTGCACTAATGGGTACTTGCTTATCTCATGGTTAAAAACCACCTCCTATTTTTTGTCAAGTCAGGGCAAATTCCACTCCCTGTTTTTGCAAAGTATATTGTCAAGTGCCCTTGAAATGATTTAATTGATGTAGATTTGAAGGTTGAAACAAGAACTGATTCATCACCCAATGTACAAGCTGAGTAAAGAATCTTAGATTTATGAGGAGGAGAATGGTGAGGTTCAGCACAAGGCAAAATACTGCAGATGTTGGAAATCTGAAATAAAAACAGAAGTAGCTGGGAGCACTCGGTAGGTCAGGCAGCATCTATGGAGAGAGGAAAGTGAGTTAACATTTCAGGTCGATGTCAGAACTGGGGGATGTTGGAAAGGACCAGATATAAGGACAAGAAGGGGGCGGGTAAGAAAGACACAGGAAAAAATTAGGTGGAGGACAGTAGATGATGAGATAAGAGGTGTTGATGGTGCCAGACAAAAGAAGGCAATAGTGGGAGTTTATAGAAATAAAGATGTGTCTGAGAGCCAGAGGATGTGTGAATGGTTTTAGAAGAGGCGGAGGTTCAAGGCTGAGAGAAGGCAGCTTCCGTCTTGCAAACACAGGACAAACCTAGATATTAGAAACATCTAGCTCTCAGGATCCGCAGTCTTTGGAGAATTGAGTTTCCTAAACAAAAGCCTTTCCCAACTCCAGGTGGCATTTGTGCAGCTCAAGAATTATTTGACATGGAATTTTCAGACCCTCTGTCTTCTGAATGTATGATGATTGCTGAGTATTTTGCTGCATTATTAGCTAGAGTGAGAGTAGATACAATAGGAAACAGCAGCAGTAATTGAATGGCAATTTCTCAAATTCAGGCTGATGTGTAATTATTGCAGCCAAAGCTGAATGGTATCATTGTATATTGGCTTTGAAATTCTGAGCTTCAGTCATTTCATTGATTTAGGTCTAAACAGCCTTTTTCTCTTTTCATTCAGTTGAGCCAGTGAAAAGAAAGGCCTTAGGACTGCAGCATAATACGTAAGTATTGCTTTGACTTTGGTTACAATAGAGTATCAGGTGCAACGCAGATGGGTGGATCATTTCTTTGAACTGAAATTGGGATGCTTGTTTTTTTTTGTAACAAAATGTTGGAAATGTATCAGAAGTTTAAGAAATAAGAAAGAACGGGAGTTGATTTGAGTTGGTTTACCATTACCCAGAAACAACGTATGGATCGTTTTCTGTAAACATCACTCTCAGATGCAACACAGCAAAACAGGAGATAAGATACAGGTCAAAGCTGGCTGGAAGTGTGTTCGATCGAGGCTTAGATGTAAATTTTAACTGATGATAATAATCATTGCGTCTTATCATCAAGACATCTCACAGTGCTCCCCATTAATGCAGTGAAGTGATGTGACTGACTGTGTATTATACAGGCGATCTATAAAAACAATACTTTATTATTTTGGAGATCCTTGATATCACATGTGAAACAGTACAAATTAACACTGATATACATGGGTAACGGTACAATAACAACACCTTGCATTTATATAGCGCTCTGCATACTGAGTAGCATCCCGGAGGACTTGGTCACATTACAGCACCGTCAGCATCAGATACAGAGGCAGAAATAATTGCATCAATGGCTTCCGGCAAGTGAAGTACACAGTTGCCGATCATCCAGTCATTAGTGCATCTACTATGAATATGGTGGCACATTTGAATTGGAAGAGGTCTCACTCCATTAACTTGCAAATGATATACACCCAGCATGGAAAAAGCACGGGCCAACTGAAATGCATAGGAGGAACTCAGAATTATTTTATTGTGAAGGCACCAACTGTAATGTATTCTTTTGATGGACGATTGGCTCCAAGGTGTTTCCCTGACTTGTACTGCATGAAGCAATTCCTCTGCTTCAACAGAAAACAGACATAGGGGCAAACGGGCAGATGCATTGATCAGATATTTGGGTCATACAGAATGTAGTTCAAACTCACGAGAGAGATGTGGTGAAATCCTGCATCAAATTCCAGGCAGGGTGAAACCTTAGGCAACTTTCCTTACTCTGTTTACCCAGCAGTAAGTAGGAATCCGGTTGTAAGTCGAATGGCGGATCGCTTACTGGGGTTAATAATCGCTTGATACAAAGGTCACTTGATCCACGACTGTTTGTGGGACACTGCTGTGTGTAATTGGCTGCCGCATTTCGCCCACAAAATACACTTTACAATATATTCTGTGAAGCACTTTGGGACGTCTCAATGACATCATAATGTGCTATATCAAATGCAAGATTATAATTATTATTATTATTTGATCTAATCTTCCCAGAATATCCACAATCTCATTTTCCCATCACAACATCAAGCTATTGCTTAAGTGAGTCCTGTGTCCTGGCCTCTGTCACTCCAGCTGTTGATTAACCTTTGTGTAAACAGCAATTTACCAAAGTAAATTGGAAGATGAAATTGCACTTTGCGAAAACAACTTATAATAATAATAATAATAACTCTTGCAATTGATGTAGCTCCTTATCTTTGCAGCTAATGATGTATCCGGGGCATACATTTATTTCTATTAGTTTGCCTGCCACAAACTCCCCAGAAAGCAACACAATTCCCATTAACATTATCTTTCAAGCTTCCCCCTTATCTCTGCCATGAATAATTGCAGTTCTGACAGGCTGACAAGGAGATTAGTCATACAAGGAGTCGTCAGGCTTTAATACACATTTCCCACACCTTCAACACACAGTGTCCAAACATCAGACATACTCCTGCTCCTCATTAAATTGTTCTTTACAACATTGTGAATTCTATTATAAATATTTATGGTTTGAAATTTGGGACAATTTAAGTGTTCAACAGGATAATTAACTTCACGCTATAACTATGGCTATGCTGCTTGTCACAAGGACTGAACTTGTGCTCACTTGGAGTGTAACATGTTGCCCATTGACAGACGATTGCTGGGAGCACATCCATCCCCAATGAATGGTTTCTCCCTTCTTTCAGATCCATTGGCTGTCAGTTTTGCCTAACGGTCAGTCAAACCACTGTTGTTTGGCTGGCTGGCTGAGTTGGTAACACTCTCGCCTCTGTGTCATTAAGCTGTGGGTTCAAGCTCCACAACCGGACGGGGCATAGAGTTCGCGGTCTATGCTTACACTCCAGTGCAGTGCTGTGAGTGCTGTCCATTGGGTGAGACGTTAAACCGACTTCCCCTCTGCCTATTCAGGTGGATCCCACAACATTATTCAAACTAGAAATGGGAGTTTCTCCTGGTGTCCTGGCCAACAACCCTGATAAAATTGCTCATTCACTTCCTGGCTGTTTGTGAGACATGGTTCACGTAAAATTGACTGCTGCCAATTTGTAAATACACAGTCACAAACTTTTACAATGAATCCTGTGAAGCACTTTTGAGACGACCTGCCGACATGAAAGGCACAATGCAAGGATTATTAATTGATTAATTATTGCACGGCGTTAATTATTACGTCATGTTCTTAAAAAATAAAAATTTACTACACACCCACACACATTCAACACGGAAGGAGACAAAGTAAAACATTAGTAGAAGACCTGTGAGTGTTAATGTAAGAAAACACATATAAAGCCATGTACATTTACAACGAAGTTACAATAAGATTGATCTATGGAGATTGTTTTGGATCACAGGCAGAAGGAATTGTCCATGGCATTAGGAAAGTTTAGTTCAACACAGACCATCTTATTAAATATGCAATTTAGTTTTCGAATATGTTTTGCTTGAACATGAAATAGACAGAGGTGCATAAACAATGAATTATTTCTGTTCAGCAGGTCGTCTCTTTCATATTCACACAATATAATTTTTCCATTAACTTTCTTAATCACAAACCACTCTGGTGTAAAATCTTGACATTGCTTCCCGGCGTGTAGTGGGCAGTACTGTACAATGTGCAACCTTCCTCTTTGCATTTAATCCGTTTAAAGTACTTGAGGTCTGTGCATTCCTGGCATTGAGAATGTCTTACCCTGTCAGGTCAGGTCTGAGAATGGAACGGGTTAAATAAATGCAGTGATTTGTTGAATCTTAATGGAATGAATGTTGTTGGGTGTGAGGCACAGATTAATGAATGGCCCCAATTCCAAGTCAGTCACAATGATCTCACTGTCCAAACCTGCTCTCCATGCTATTTCTCATAGTTACAGGTTGCAATCAAAATACAATCCTGTACTGATAGAAAAGATGATAACCTTGGACTGCACTGGAACTCCGAGCCAGAATATTGCATTTGAGGAATTTTATTCCCTTATTGACTGGGATCCAGGAAATTTCTTTTGAAGTCTTAACCATCTAAGACAATGTGATCCGCTGAATCGATTTACTTTACGCAGAGAATATATATTTTTTGCCATAAACATATGTTGTTTTAATGCACCCACATGTCAAGGTGCGTCCATTGCCAGGGGTTTGTAAATGTTTTCCTGTGTGCAATCTAGAGGTTCACTGACCTGACATTTGGTATTTACTTTATTTCAATGTGATGAAAATGTTGGTTGATATCCGTTGCTGTCAAAGTATCATTGGTTTGAAACATCAAAGTGATGGATAGGTACATTGTTGGTACATACATAGAATTACATATCAATGTTAGTTACAGAACAGAAACAGACCATTTGACCCAAGTAGTCCGTGCTGGTGTTTTATACTCTATATGAGCCTCCGGCTTTCCTTATCCCCTCGCCCATACCCCTCTATTCCTTTCTCCCTCATGTATGCAAGTAGCTATAGTGGGAAATTGCAACTGTATAAAACCACCAAATTGCAGAGGATTAAACTAACTTTAGATAGTACGTGATGTTACATCCGATGCTGAATCAATCTGACATTGTCCTGGGATCCAACCAACCCCTTTACCAATCTGACAATCTATTCCCTGCATATCACACCAAATCCCTACCCATCCGACAGTCCCTTTCGTTCAGCAACCCTGCCCTATCTGCCCTGTAATCAGCAGGCAAACTTTTAGCCACTAATCCCCCACTCTCTGGAACTTCGCCAGCTCCCCACCCCTGTCCCGCAGTCCCTCTGACTTGCTCCCTCCCTCCTCTCGATCAAAACCCATCTCAAGACCACGCTTTCGGTCATCTTTCCCTCTCCACCTCCTTCAGCTCCCATCCCAACTAAGGTCCCCAGCCAGTAGTGTCGAACTTTATGAGGTGTCCTCCTGACGTGAAAGGCGTTGCATAAATGTAAATCATATTGTATTATGATATCCGGGTTTGATATTTAGAAAAATTGTCAATTGGTGCTGAATTTGAGGCATTCATTTTGTACTCCACACTCATTCAATGGGAACTGATTTGACTGAGCAAATTTATTTCACTTGAGACGTTCGACTAGTTTCAGAGAATGGAACATCTGTCTGTCTGTGTTGACTTCATACTCAGGTCCCACAGGTAAGGCACAGTGCTCTAAGCATATAATATAAGCAAGTCTTCTTGTTGTGTCAGCAGTATTAGTTATTTCATGACAGCTCGAAATCTGCTAGCTCCTTATGCATGAATTCACCTTGTTGAAAGGAAAATTCATTACACCGTCACCTACTGTAAGTCATCCTTTACCTATCCAAACACCTTACCTTCAATGACAGTCACTATTCTTGACAGTAATTACTGTGTTTAGCATAATCAGACAAAAGGGGAGTGCTGTAGTGTAATGGTTAACAAGCGAAAGGACCTGGGTTCGATTCCCAGGCAGGGCAAAACCTTAGGCAAGTTTCCTTACTCCACTCGCTTCTGTTTACCTAGCAGTAAGTAGGAACCTGGTTGATAGTTGATTGGCGCGGTAATAATCTCTCAAAAAAAATGTGGTCCCTTAATCTACGACTGTTTGTGGGACTTTGCTGTGCACAATTAGCTGCTGTGTTTCATCCACTTTACAATATATTCTGTGAAGCACTTTGAGATGTCTCAACGATGTGTTAAGGGACTATATGAAATGCAAGGGTTATTATTTTCTACTACCTATAACTTAGCATC